CGCAGAGAGAACTCTTCAGTTCCACAACTTCAGCCAGGGGTCAGAAGAAAACAGCAGGTGCCGTCCGCATCTGCAGGTGTCACCTGGCAGAGGGCTCCCTCGTGTCCAGCGCAGTGGGCATGGTGCACTGGTCAGGAGCTAAGCAGAGGCCGCCACGCCTAGAGAAAGGGAGAAAGGGCGGAGTGGCCGGAGGAGCCCTGCTGCTGCGTGGGAAGCTCTTTGAGAACAAGGACTTGACAAGCCACGGAAGGCAGGCCGAGTGAAGTGTTCCCTTGTTTTTTTCCACTAAGCGAGTCCGCTTTAGCTCCCCTGGAGATGCTGCCAGAATTTTTAAATGTAGTTTTCCAAAGGATAAAATCATGACTTCATGCAAATAGAGTATGGACACATGCCAAGTTTTCTTTGACTCATTACTTAATGCCAAAACCTTCCACACATTGACAGGCACAAAAACCATTTGAGAATATAGAGACATTGACACAGCTAAACAGTTCTATAAAATGAGATACACGAGGGCCAAACACAGTAGCGTAGTGGCTAAAGTCTTCACCTTCCATGTGTTGGGATCGCATATGGGCATTGTTTTGTGTCCCAGCTGCTCCACTTCCCATCCAGCTCCCTGCTTGTGGCCTGGGAAAGCAGTCCAGGATGGCCGAAGCCTTGGGACCCTGCACCTGCATGGGAGACCCAGAAGAGGCTCCTGGCTTTGGGTTGGCTTAGCTCCAGCTGTTGCTGCCACTTGGAGAGTGAATCAACGGATGGAAGATTTTTGTTTCTCTTTGTAAATCTGATTTGCTAATAAAAACAAATCTAAAACAGAGAGATGAGATTGCTAGGTAGATAAAACAACAGATTATGTTAGAGTGGTGTAAATGGTAACCTTTGGGTTGGTTCTTCCCCCTGGGTACAAGTCTTCAGGCTGGCCTCTGCCCCTGCAGAGCTGCAAAGTCACGCAGTCAGTAGAATAGCAAGCCGAGGACTGCGCTGAGCAAGCACCCGGTGCCAGAGGCCGAGGCTTGGCAGCTTCCAGGCTTTGTTTGTTGGAGCCTAATACCCACTTTTAAAGATGGGACCTTTAGGGAACTGATGGGGTCCTGAGGGCCTGCCCTTCTGAATGGGGTTTGTGCCCCTAGAGGAGGATTTGAAGGGAACCTTCAGCCTCCCCTGCCTGCCCCTGATCTGTGAGCAGGAGAGAGCACGGTCCATGAGGCCCTGGCTGACCACACCTGCTGTGCCTTGCTCTGGGACCTCCCAGGCTGCCGCCTGGGGGCCTTGCCTAGCCACTGCATGCGCAGATGCCGACACTAGTAATTGCTTTCAGTAATCACTAGTAATTATTCAACCAAAAGATTTGTTTATTTTTATTCAAAGAAAGATTCTATGGGGAGAGAAGGAGAGACAGAGAGAGCGGTCTTCCAACTGCTGGTTTATTCCCCAAGTGGTCACAACTGCCAGAAATGAGCTGATCCAAGCGAGAGCCAGGAGCTTCCTCCCAGTCTCCCACGTGGTTACCGGTTACCGGGGCCAAAGGCCTTGGGCCGTCCTCTGCTGCTGCCCCAGGCTACTAGCAGAGAGCTGGATCGGAGGGTGAACAGCTGGGCGTGAAGGACGCCCACATGGGATGCTAGCTCGAACAGGCAGAGGGTTAGGTGCCACTGTGCTAGCCCCTCAGCCTTGCTTATTAAAACTGATCATAACATTAACACATGTTGATTTAAAAATTGATTGGAGAAAGGATTAAGAATCTCTTGTGATAATATTGGGTGTGTTTCCTCATCTTTAATATATTATCTGGATTTTTGGAATCAGCTGCATTTATATTTTTATTTTTTAAATTGAATATATTTTATTTTATTATTTTATGGTACAATTTCATAGACTCTGGAATTTCACTTCCCCCCTCCCCAAACCCCTCCCTCTCTGACATCCCCTGTATCATTACAGTACTATAGTCCTTCATAAGCAATCATTAGTCCATCATTCTGCTACTTAAGTGTATCCTGACATTGTAGGTATGGACAGTGGCAGAGAGACCAGTATTCTAGTTTCAAGATACATTTTACAGTTTTATTGGGAGTCCATCTTCGATTGAGAAGTAGAGATGCATGCTGCACTGTATCTTCACATCTGGAAATGGTAGTCTCTATTACACGGTTGCTATACATCCCCTTAAATGAAAAACCATTAAACAAATTAACAGCTGGAGGAAAAGAAAGGAAAGTTTGTGGGACTCAGGGGCAAAGAGGTCACTAAGTCAATAAGATAGCAACTAACTGTCAGGGTCTCTGGGTTACATGTCCTGAGCAAGATGGCCGCCAAGGACAGAGCGCTGGGTGGGAACCAGGGCAGGGGTCAAGTCGTTTCAAAGAAAGGCTGATTGGCCAGGGCCGTTCGCTCACCTGCCCCTGGCCTATGGGAGCTGGCCTCCACAGTGGCGCTCCTAGTGATTGGCTCCTAGTTTCTCCTCTCCAGGAATTCTGGGATTCCTGGCCTGAGGCTATTCGCTACCCTGTATAAGAAACTGAATTTCCCAAATAAACCAAAACTGCATAGACAGAACCCCTGTTCCTCTGTTTGTTTCTCGCGCACCGGGAGGCTGGCTGGCGGGCAGCAGGCTCACCCCATCCGACAACGGGGTACTGGAGGAATCTTTCGGGGAGACTCCGCAGAAATTAACAACAACATGCTGCTGAATGACCAATGTGTTGCTGAAGAAATGAAAAAGAAAATCGAAAACTTTCCTGAAGTGAACAGTGCTACTGTGTGACCCATGAGTCAGGGAAGAAATTAAGAAAAAAAAATTCTTTTGAATGAATAAAACCAAATTATCAACCCCCTGAGATATAGCACAAACAGTATTGAAAGGGCTGCTAGATGTTATATTTTACATGAAGATTGCCTTATATCAGCATTTTTTTTTTTAAAGATTTATTTTTACTGGATATAGTCAGATTTATAGAGACAAAGAGAGAGGAAGATCTTCCATCCACTGGTTCACTCCCCAAGTGGCCACAGCAGCTGGAGCTGAGCCTGATCTGAATCCAGGAGCCAGGAGCTGCTTCTGGGTCTCCCACATGAGTGCAGGGTCCCAAGGCTTTAGGCCATCCTGGACTGCTTTCCCAGGCCACAGGCAGGGAGCTGGATGGGAAGTGGAACCGCTGGGACACAAACCAGCTCCCATATGGGATCCCAGTGCTTGCAAGGCGAGTACTTAGCCACTGAGCCATGGCTCCAGAGCCTGCATTTAGTTTATAAATCACCAGTTACAAAATGGTGTGATACACTAACCATGAATATTACCATTTACAACTTCTAAATTAAATCTATTTTTTTATTTTTTGTAGACTTATTTGGGGTTTTCAGGTTTGGGTTTTCAGGTTTTTGAGAAATCCTGTAGATTTTGGCACTACAAAAACTCGACACTCCTTTGTTTGTGAAATGCATCCATGCCTTGGTGCAGTTGCATAAAACTTAATCAAATGAAAAACGGTTTTTAAAACAATGCAGACTTTTTGTCAAGTGTTGGAATAATTGCATTTGAGAGTCTGTATTAATTGTTTCCCAAAAATGTAGGATCTTGTGTGAAGACAGATTTTAGCATACGATTTGGGAGAAGAGTTTGAGCTGCCTGAGGAGGAGGACTGGGGCTCTGCTGCTCTGAAGCCTCACAGACTCGCTCTTCTCTCTCTGAATCCCCTGTGCGATCGCCCCGGACACTGGCCCTGACACCTGGGAGGGGATTCCACCTCCTTGGTGTTCTCTTGAGCCTCTAAGATGTCCGTTACGGGTGTAACAGGTACGCGGAGGCAGGAGGTGAGACGACAGGTAGAGGCGCCTTGGCAGGGTGGGTTGTGCCCCCCCTTGGCAGCAGTGTGGTGGGAGGGGAGGATGCTCGCGCGCAGAGGCAGCCCGTGGCGCAGTGCCTCTGCTGCCGCTGCGCGGGCCTTGTTAGTCACAGGGCAGGCCGTCCTTCCCACCGTCCTCAGCAGCTTAGACGTGAACTTACTTGTGTTCTTTTTATCCTGCTATCCACTGAATCCCTGAAATTGCAGAACTTCTGAAAAATAACTTGGCTAATTAGCTCTGACATTTCTAAAACTTTGCAAACTTTCAGACGCTGGAGATAAGCTGTCAAACTTTACTAATCGTGACACTGCTTGCTTATATGGAAATTAACGATAGTTTAAATGACTGCTGTTAAAAGACCCACAAGTGTAATTTTCAGACCGAGTCTTTTAGGCTGTGCTTGTGCAATCCCTTAAAATGAAAAGTGGAAACTTCGCTGCACAATGTGAACAGCTAGTCTCAGAGGGTGAGCAGCCTGTGAACAGCACAGAGCGTGGAACTTCTGCAAGTGTAGTCATTGTGTTGCTCAATCAACACGCACTGGAGGTGGGGCTCAAATTCACATTTTTCAGTTATCCATCTCAAATCCAGTCCAAAGCCAGGAGCCTCCTCTGGGTTTCCTACTTGGGTGCTGCAGGGTCCCAAGGACTTGGGGCATCCTCCATTGCCTTCCTGGGCTGGAACAGGAAGCTGGATGGGAAGTGATGCATCCAGCATATGAACCGGTGCCCACATTGGATGTCAGCACTCGAAGGTGAGGAATTACCTGAGCCACTGTGCTGGCCCCACAAGCAACATCATAAATGCCTGTGCCAAGGGCCTGTCCCCATGGGATGTCCTAAGAAGTTCTTACATCAGTGCTGGAGGGTGAATCAACAGGTGGAAGATCTGTCTCTCCCTCTTTGTAACTCTTTCCAAATAAATCAGTCCTCAAATAAGTTGAGAAGGTCTTAAGTTGATTTCTCTGTTTCTTTTGTGTGGTTATGAGTAAAGTGTTTTACATAGGAAAAGCTTAGCATATGAAGACAATAGCAGTGAAGACAATGGTTCAGGACTTGCAGCCTGAGCAGAATGAGAGCACAGTAGATTAATCCATATGAGCTTCATAAAGAAGTGTTCAGTCTGGTCATGTTTGTGTGTCTCCTCCTTCCTAGGCAGAGACCGCCCCGGGTGGACCTGAGTGCGGGTATGGCTCCTTCCACCAGCAGTACTGGCTGGATGGCAAGATCATTGCCGTGGGCGTGATCGACATCCTCCCCTCCTGCGTCTCGTCCGTGTATTTGTACTACGACCCCGAGTACTCCTTCCTGTCCCTGGGTGTCTACTCGGCACTGCGGTAAGATGGCTGCTTGTGGTCCTGGGGCTTGGCTGCATTTCAGCGGGTGACATGCTCATCTGATCTGGTAGTATGATGCAGTGATTTGTTGCTCTCAGTCTCTTAGTTACATACTGTCCTGTAGAAGTACAAGTGCACGATGGTAAATCTCCAGCTTTTAAGATTTCTAAGTACCCTGGGATGTAGCAAATAATTATATTCGTAAAATGCTTTTGTTGTTTAGCTTGTACATTTATTTAAGCTCCCATTAGAACTGTTTATGTTCCTAAGTGTTGTATTATTTATATTCTTGTCATTTCTTTCATACATATTTTTCACTGTTGATTAAGTTAATGTGGTAGGAATGAATGGAAGTATGTGTCTGCTAGAAGAAATACAACAAATCATACATCACTTAGTGATGGGGTATGTTCTGAGGACTGTTAGGTGATTTCACAGTGTGATCGTCAGAAAGTATACTTGGGCGTGATTTGATTAACGTGAAGGATGGCTCAGCTCGCAGGGGCTAAGTGGCTAAGCTACTGGTAGGGACACCCACATCCCGTAAGAGGTGTCTGGGTTCGAATCCTGACTCTACCCCAGTCTCAGCTTCTGTCTGACACATACTCTGGGGGGAGGACCTCTGCTGACGGCCCCGGCAGAGTTTTGAGTTCTGTCAGACCCTAGTTCTGGCCAGCCCCTAGTTGTTGAAAACATTTGGTAAGGGCGCCAGCAGATGGAAGATCTCTCTCTGCTTTTCAAACAAAATTAATTTAGAAGTTTAGAAATATTGCTTTTAACAGTCTGTGGGGACTGTGGAGAAGCAAAGATAGAAAAATCAGTTGGGAGGCTATTCTGTGTCTAGGGAACCGTACTGTGTTCTGAACCGGACTGTCTGGCAAGGGCTTTGGACCTGAAGGACTTGCTGGGGGATTGGGCGTGAGAGTTGAGAAGAAAGGAAGCAAGGCTGACTCGCAGGTTTGGGCCTGGGCAGACCAGGTGAGAGTCCGCTGTGGCTGGGGGACCACGTTGGAATGGGATGGTCTCAGGGTTGACTTACTCTGCCTGAATTTAAATATATGTGAAGTGTAAAGAATAATTTTTAGGGTAACAAACTTTAAGAAGTTTAAATCTGAGTGGAAAAAAATGCATGGATTAATCAGTTTTGGAATAAATTTTTTTTTTCTGCATTTCAAACATTCATTGCTAATGCAAGGGGCAAAAGGGGAAAGCCAGCCTTCAGGAAGCAACCAGAATGCAGGACAGCCTCTTCCTGCTCTCAGACCGAGGTCAAGGTTGGCCTCAGTGTCCAGTGCTCCCGTTCAGCTGGGCAAGTAGGATGAAGTGTGCCAGGATTTACCCACGGACAAGTTAAAACCACTTTGCACATAGATGTGGGCCGTCAGTATGCTGGCAGAGAAGTGGTAGCAGATGGCGGGGTTGCCCTCCAGCTGTTAGGACAATGCGTGTTGGGGGCACATCTAGGGACGCAAAGGAGCTGCAGGTCAGGGATCACAGCAGCATCTTTGTTCCTTGGCTTGCTTGACTTGAGTTTGTGAGATCTGTTGTAAAACGCAGACACTCTGAGAACTCATGGGCCTAGTGAGTAGTAAGAAGGCCCTTTTGGATCTGGTTAACTCTAAGCGCTTTGAATTTCAGAGCAGTTACTTTGCCCAGTAAAGTGTGAAACCTGGAGTCAGGTGCATTTTCTCACCTAACTGGGTTTTCTTTTATTGGTGTTTGGGTGGTTTGATATGGGACTGTATAAACATTTGCCGTCCCGTGGCCTGTGTGGCCGTCGGGGCCGGCCTCAGCTGTGCCTCCGTGTGCTCTTTCGGCAGAGAGGTGGCTCTCACCAGGAAACTGCATGAGAAGACAGCCCAGCTCAGCTATTACTACATGGGCTTCTACATCCATTCCTGTCCCAAGATGAAGTACAAGGTAACATTGGTTTCCACAGTGTCTGTTTCACTATATGAAAATATTTGCAGCTGTTTTTACTGTGTGGCAGTTTGGAAGGAAGGTTGCGTGGGCTAACGGGGAAGTCCCTGCCGCCTGCAGCCTCTCCTTGGCAGTCTGTTGTATTGTGAGTCTTAAGCAGATTTCAGAATTTCCCTTTTCAAGAAAGGTTGTGTGACTCTCCAGAATGAACGTCTCTGTTGTCAAAGCATTGGCTGTACAAAGGGCAGGCAGTGTTCCCGTGCCCAGTCCCTCCGCAGGTACGTTGAGTTGCTTACTGCGTGTGCTGTATTCAGCTATTGTTGCACCCGATGCCACCTCCACCCCTTTGAGTAGTTTGGGACAAATTGAGGATATAATTTTATGTAAAGATGAGGACACTTGCAAAACAACTGTAGTTTCGCCTCCATACCTAAAAAGTACTAAAATCCCAATATCCTAGAGCTAGTTTATGCTTATATTTCTCTAATTATTTTGTGTTTTTTACAGTTACTTTGTTTAATTTAAGACCTAAACTAGGTTGATACGTTATTTTGAGTTGACATGTCTCAGAAATCTTGAGTTCGCAAATCTCCCCTCCTCACCCCCTTGTTTGCAGAGGAATAACACAGAGAACTTGGCTATTGGACTGACTGTGAAACTCATCATGGTTGCAGATTCTCAAGGTTCAGGCTGCGTGGCTGGGGAGGTGATGGCTCCGTGGTCAGAGATGAGGCTTCTGAAGGCAGGGTTGGTTCTGCAGGAGGGTGAGAATACAGGCCCTTGGTGCTTTTGTGTTGATAGTTCGGAAAGTGTGATGTCCTGCTGACATTAAAGAGGGCTTTTTAGTTTTTTTTTTTTTTTTTAATTACCATCACCAAGTAGCTTCATGAGAGTTGGTAAATCTTAGTAAAAATCTAGAAGTCATTACAGATCATTGAAACTTCAGTAGTGTATCATCCCTAACATTGGTGAAAGTTGTTTTTATCTTATATTTAAATCTTTTTACACAGATAACTACTAAACTTAGTTGTCTTCAGAAATTTCCTTTATGCCATTGTTATTAATTGACTTGATAGACATGCATTCTATGCACAAGTAAGGGCATGCTCAAATTTCATTTTGCCCTAAAATACGTACTTGGTACTATTGACTAACATTTTCTTTTCCTAGCTCATTTTTTGTAATTTAGTACAAATGTAAATTGAATTCTAAACTTCAAGATACAAAGCTCAGATATGCAGGCGTTTTAGTGTTCGATGCTCAGGGAGCACTCTGGGACAGTCGTACAGCCCAGCTGGCAGGCGCTGCCTGGCACTGTAGCTGGCTTAAGTCCTGTTTCTGCACACTGGGGTGCGGCTAGTGGGGGCTCAAGTGTCGGGGTTCCTGCCACCCATGTGGGAAGCGAGGTTGAGCTCCTGGCTCCTGGGTTATGCTGACCAGGACCTTCTGTTGTGTGCGCATTTAGGAAATGAACCATCAGATGGGAGAGCTGTCTCAACCTCTGGCTCCCTTTAACGAACCTGAAAAGCAAAGGAAGCTGCCTACCCTACCTGCTAATCCTTGTGGATGTGGTACCTGGACTGCTGTAACCAGTTGCCTCACTTGGCGAGTCCACTGTCACGGCATTGTTCCCGGCTGTTTTTTGCCTAAGCTAAGCTCTGAATTGCTCTCTGGATTGGCCGTTTCATGTTTGTTTGCTTTTCCTTAGTGGCAGTGTTGACTGTAGTTTCATCGTCACTTCAGCCGCACGGAGACTGTTACGTCACACCTTTGCTAACTCTGGTCCAGGCGAAGTGTTTTATATAGTGACTTCCTTGATAGAGTTCTGCTTGGAAATTGTCATCAGCCCATGTGTAGTTGAGGGCTTTACAAAGGCTCCCTGTGCCTTATAGCCTGGCTTAGTCATACCCAACCTAAATGCAGCTGAACTGTGGCTCCTGGGGGTTGTTCTGTTAATTCTGTCTGCATGAGAAGTAGCCCCATTCTCGCTTGGCACTCCTTCATCCATAAGATAACAGCTGCATTGCTATTGGAGATAACATTAGTAAACGTCCTGGAATTGCCTTTCTAGTGGAGAACCTAACGAGAAAGAAAGGAGACCGGTGATGCAGGGGTAAGGCTCCGTGACGTGGACTCTCAGGATGAATGTGTAGGTGAAGGTTGGAGCAACAAATCCACTAGTGGCAGGTTTTAGAATGAGACATAGGAAAACAGAATGCTTTCCTTTTTTTTTTTTCCCAGGATTTATTTGCTTTATTTCAATGAGTTAACAGAGAATCTCTCTCTCTCTCTCTGACACACACACACACACACACACACACACACAAAATATCTCCATCTTCTGGTTCGCTCCGCAGAGAGCTGCAGCAGCAAGGGCTGAACCAGGCCAAAGCCAGGCACTTCTTCCACATCTCCCATGTAGGTGGCACATGGATGTGCCAGAATATGATGTAAATGCCGTGATTCTGTGATGGGTATTCCATGGTATTTACACATGCTCCAGTAGAAGGGACGTGGTAACCTAGGTGTGTGTAACAAGTTGAGCCTGGCACCATGGCTCAGTGGCCAAAATCCTCACCTCCCACGCACTGGGATCCCATATTGGTGCTAGTTAGTGTCCCAGTTGCTCCACTTCCTGTCCAGCTTCCTGCTTGTAGCCAGGGAAAGCAGTGGAGGATGGCCCAAAGCCTTGGGACCCTGAACCCCTGTGGGAGAAGTACAGCTAGTATTTTTTTTTAAGATTTGTTTATTTTTATTGGAAAGTCAAATCCACAGAGAAGTGGAGAGAGATCCTCTGTCCCCTGGTTCACTCCCCTACCTCAATGGCCAAAGCTGAGTCAATCTGAATCAGGAGCAAGGAGCTTCTTCTGAGTCTCCCATGTGGGTGCAGGGTCCCAAGGCTTTGGGCCATCCTCGACTGCTTTCCCAGGCCACAAGCTGGATGGGAAGTGGAGCAGCTGGGGCACAAACCTGTGCCCATGTGGAATCCCAGTGCATGTGAGGTGAGGGTTTTAGGTTGGGGACCGCGCCCAACAGCCAATATTAAACTGGGAGATTGATTTTTCTAATATGTATAACATGCATATAATTATGTGTTTTTTATTTTTAAAACTAGATGTTGGTTTACATATATTTGACTTTATATATTTTGTTTATAATCTGCATCACAGTTTTTTTAGGAAATATTTTTTCAGCTTTAATCAAGGTTTAGTTCCGTGCATAGTGATATTCATGCTATCTATATCATTTTAATTTATTTTCTGTTCTATTGTTGGTATGCTTTTCCTTCTAAAATCATTCCTGTATTTAGTTAATTTTGTATCTCAGAATTTTATTTACAAATTGTGTATTCTATATCTGAAATGTTTGTACTCGCGTGGGATACCTCAGCTCCAGCCTGGAGCAGTGGACAGAGATCTTTCTCTGGCCCTCTGTAGATGTGTTCTGCTTTTCCAACAACAAAAAAATAAGTCTTGTTGGAAAGTTCACATTTGAAGCATTTATTATTTTAGTTTTTTTGAATTAGTGGCACCTAAGTTGTGTAAGCTTTTTAGAAAATTTAATTTGATCTTTTTAAAAACCTTCAAACTTTTAATTTAGTAGATTTTTTTTGGAAAATGTGTTTTCCTGTGCTGAGTTTATTATTTGCATTTTAGACCCCTTCCCATATATTCTAAGACTGATTACATGTGGAAATGAAATATGCACACATGGCATTTAGATGTAGTGTTAAAATTCTCCCCACTGGCTTGTCTCTCCCATTATCGCTGTAAGGCTATTTTGTGATCTGAACGAGGCACTTTGACTCAGTTCCGCCTCCAGACTTGCATTCAGGCCAAAGCAAACAGCAATTTCAGGCTGTCTGCCTGATGGCGTGGCACGGCCAGACATCAGATAGTTTCTGAGATGTCAGGAAAGTAACAAAGGGCTGATTCATCTTGATGAGTCGAAACTCCTCTGTGTGATTATGCTCAGGGCACCCTGGGAATTCTGCAGGCATTCGCCATGGGAAGGTACTTGGCATCACTGTTAGAGAAGCACCCACAGGAAAAAATTAAAAACAGAACCGGGCCCGGCACGGTGGCGCAGTGGTTAAGGTCCTCGCCTTGCACGCGCCGAGACCCCATATGGGCACCGGTTCTAATCCCAGCAGTCCCGCTTCCCATCCAGCTCCCTGCTTGTGGCCCGGGAAAGCAGTTGAGGACGGCCCAAAGCTTTGGGACCCTGCATCCGTGTGGGAGACCCGGAAGAGGCTCCTGGCTTCGGATCGGCATAGCATCGGCCGTTGCACTCACTTGGGGAGTGACTCATCGGACGGAAGATCTTCCTCTCTGTCTCTCCTCTCTGTCTATCCATCTTTCCAATAAAAAATAATAAAAAATAAATCTTAAAAAAAAAAAAAAAACAGAACCAAAACCTGTAGTTGACGGAGCTGCTTCTGCGAAGCTGGGTGCTGCTGGAAGCTCCCAGCATCCAAGCTTTCAGTTCCTGGCCAAACTAAATTAGCCAGTGTGATTTTACTACCTTCTCCAAGCCCAGGGTAGTGCTGTGGGTGCCTGCGGTGGGGGCTTTGCTACTGCCGGACCAGAGGGGATACAGATGGTCTCATGAGCTCCCCACAGCACGGAACAGAGCGCTGGGTGTTTTGATTCAGCATCTGTTTTCTTGATGTCAGAGTTCCAGTTACCACAGAGTAATTTTAATGAGAGGTAAGGGTTTTGTTCATGGGTGATTCTTAGTGCCTCCTGGGAAGTAAAAGGATTCTCATGCTCAACAGTTGTGTCTAGAGTAATCACATGTTATTCCACATACGTTGGAGTCCAGTCCAGGTCCGTGAGAGCCGTCTCTTGCAGCTCCTCAGCCCAAAGGACCAGTTTGAGCTGCTTCACCTGCCTAGACTGTGTGTTAACTCCCACTTTAACTTCAACAACACTGAAGGCATTTAAGAGCCGACATCCCCGCTAATGGCATTGTTTATCCACTCTCTGATAATGTTAGAC